CAAAGGGAGAGAGTGATGGCTCATGTGGGGGGGAGCCCCCGATTTCGCTCTTTCGGACTTCACTTAACCGTCTGTGGGATAAGTACTATTCGAGAACAGCCGTCAAATCCTTATTATGTTATTGTTATGCGAACCAACGGGAATGAGGTTTTCTAGAACTTCCGCTGACACTTCATGCTTTATCAGGTTGAATTGACAGCTTCTGCAAAACAATTAAATTTTTGCCTTATTTGCCAAATTCTCTATTTTTTTTCAGCCGGCAACCGTCTGAAGTTGGCTCACGTCAAGCAGGGCATGTGATTGCGATGAAGGAACATACGAGGGGTGTTCAATGTGTTCTCGGTATAGGTATGAAGAAAAAGGCAGAAAATTCTGAATAAAATTTATTTTTCAATGTAGTCCCCATAACCTCAATGCACTTGTTTGCTCGGGAAACTAACTTTTCAATACCCTCCAAAAATGTTTTTCCCGTTTCCTCGAAATGTGCATTAATTGCCACCTCTTCATCGTCAGAAAAACGCTTTCCACAAAGATCTTTTTCAGGTTGGGGACCAAGAAGTAATCACTAATCATTTTCTCAATTTTCTTTTCATTTTCTCAATTTTCTTTTCATTTTTTTCAATTTTTAAATCAGTAATCATTTTCTCAACATTGTCGCATCAGTCATTCTGGTCTTCTTTCACCAAGGATAACTAGAACAGCATTGATGATAACTGAATGAAATTTTGTATTTATACCCTCAGGGAGTGTCGTTACTTATGGTTTTAGTTTCTTCCTTACTGGTAGATTACCTACCGATACCGAGAATACTTTGAACGGCCCTCTTCAGTCATATAGCACAACTGTCTCAACCGTTGTCTCAATTAGTACTCCATGTGACCAATCCCTCCATTCCAGCTTTGGCACTCTCTTATCAATCAAAAATGACCCCTCATCCGAATGGGAATGCCACAAGCATGATTGATGTGTTTCTTAAACAACGCCCCGATCAAGGGTATCCAAAACTTACTGCTAATCTGGGGTAGGGCTCAAGGTTAGCGTTACCATTTTGACAACGGTTTTATCAAAAATTCTGAACGATCCCAAGCAGAGGTGGTTTGATGGCATGTTCCTCGCCTACCACGTGCATGATCTGGGGTGAAGCTCCGATCCCGCTCGGGTTAAAAAGAGCCTTTCATCCTCCCAGGGCAATAGATTGGCAATATATTGGTACCAGACTTGTGCGGGAGGCTGAGAGCATAGAATTTGACATAGACTAGCCCTTGCATGTCATTATATAGGACACTTGCATTCAGTAAGCCACCACGATTTTACGATTCAGATGGTGTGGAATACGTGCTGCATCCCAGAAAAAGACTGATCAGCCTCAAAAGAGCTCCCTTTTCCGCTTACTTTCACACCAGGCCAGTCAGGGTGCATCGTCTGGGGTTAGGTCTCCTAGCGAGGCGCGTTGTCTTTACCCTCCGACTCCTGCGACGGAGCAGTTTTTTGGTAGTTTTCCAATTTTTCGGTAAATTTATTAGGACCCAAAAGCGGAACCGCTCCGAAAAGGTGGTAGGAATTGGGAAAAGTCATAAATATGGGGAGGTGAGGAAGAACAAGGGTTGGTCAGAGTGCGTTTGTATGGGGAAACGCGTTATTTGTAAAAATTTCTCCCCGATCAAGGGAGTAGGTGCCTCGATTCGCAGCTCAGGCGCGTGAAGAGTGCGGCGACAGGGAGGGGGGACATTTTGCTCGTTGCTTCACTAGTTCCAGTTTACAGGTCTAACACTGCTGAAACCTGTGAACTCTTGTGAAGCTAGCGCAAGCTCGTTAAGAAATCATGGTAAAACCTTTCAGCTCGAGAAGAGGCTGTCTAGATGGGTCTACACGTCGATAGGAAGTAGCAACAGTACGAAATTCCCCTCCTTCCCCCCCCCCCCCCCCCCTCGCCGCCTATCTGTTTCCGCGATATGAGCACACATGAACGCGCTTTTTGAAGATGGATGTTGTTGTGTGTTATGCGCGTCATGGTTGGCCCCTCATGCAATCAGAGGGCGCTTCATTCGTTGTCGTTGTGAATTTGCGCGTGATAATTCGCCGTTAGCACAGAAGGCGCAAGCGGAAGCAGAACTGAAAAACTCCAAAAGGGCATTCCTCCAAATGGAAACGAACCGATAGCAATGCAACCGGCAGACTCGTTAGCAAACAGCGATCGATTTCGAGTCGATCCAAGTTCCACAAATTCTAAAGAATTCGTATACTGGAGGTCTAATCAAAATAAAAAAATAGAAATAAAATAAAAAGACATATTTCAAGAAGGTACCACAAATAGCCCTGCTGGAGGTGTGCTCCACTTCCTGGAACGGTGTGAACATCGGATGGTTAACGTTCGAATTGTTTCGGGTCGGCTCAGCGTTCGGAAATCGGTCACGTTCAGCTGAAAATGGAATGGAAAGCAAAGATGTAGTCCATCAAGGCTTTTTGAACGCTATCGTATTGTTTCCAGAGGGCACTTCGGTCCGGTCGGACCGATTCTGCCTCCT